GAGATGAGCCTGGAAGGCATATTGGGCTGGATACGTGGTTATATCTTAGACAAAAACTCTTTGCCCAGTATTTGGGGCATAAGACAATTCCAGAAAAATTTGGGACTCTCGGAGTTTCCTGAGTGAAGCCAAAACTTTGGTGATTTAGGAACATTGATCTTTTGACTATATTTGGAATGAATTTGAGTGAGAAAAGAGGAGAGACAGAAAAACTATTTCTGCTATGACTGCAGTGGATCAGATGTGATTTAATGAGTCTAAACCAGGTTTTTTCCACGTGCAGGCTCTTGTTGAGTAGGTAATTATTTTTTATGAGAATCTAGTTAAAATTATACCTGTTCTCTATGAATGAAGTGAGGGAATCATTTATATTGCATTAGGACATTAAATGACTGTTCTGAAAATACTGTATTTTATTCTTATGAGTTTCAGTGAGTTTAATGTTCATTACTAGATGCTCATATACATGCCTTGAAAATATAATCCTAAGTTGATAGCCCACAACTTCTTCTTTTAAGACTGTTGCTGGTTTGTTTTACCACCATGAGATGTAAGTGCTAAAATTTAGCATAATATTGGGAGCATTAATTCAAGCTTTGCAAACTTAGAATTGCTTTTTGATGTGTCAAGTTTCCTTTGTAGAGACAAAAAGGAAAAACTACAAATCATGTTTATAATTTCCCACTATGACAAATAATCGACTATTTGAAATTTCCATACATTGCATTGTTAACTTTTAAATAGGATGCAGTTCTGATCCCTGCTTATTAAGCTGCAAATCACCATAGTGTGTGTACTGAATAAGAATGCAGAATAGTAGTTAATTCCATTAAGTCTAATTATATTAATATGCAATTTCATGCCCTGTGTATGATTCTTCCAGCTAGAAGAAGTATACATAGGGAACCAATTGCTGAGTATCAGTTTGAATTACTCTTTCATTTTATATTTTATTCTATGTTCAAGAACTTACAAGTGCAATTTTTTTGAATATCACAGACATTCAGATGTAAAGTAGTTGTTTTAAATTTATCCAATGTGTGTAACTTACACAGAACCATATATTGGTATATATAAAAGTATCCAGATTTTTATCAACTTACCAAAAATATTTTATTCTTACCTACATTTATAAAATATATAACCTGTGTATATGGAAAATTTATCCTTTATTATATTTTCTTATTTACAAAATAAAATATTAGGAATGAAGACCAAGAAGAAAACTATTAAATGAAAAGGTCAGAAATTTT